GTGTGTGTATATATATGTGTGTGTGTGTATATATATATACACATATATAGTGATGTTTCATTTTAATTATGGAAAAACATGGATTTTGGGAATTTGGGTTCTTTTAATCAGAGAATTTGCAATTGTTAAACAGAGAAAACCAGGATCCCGGTCGTAACACGCTGCACAACTTACACAGATGCAGATATACTCCCTGTACTCTTGGGCATTAGACCAAGTGATATAAGAAGAAAGACCTTTTAACATCATTACTGGCAGTAGAGGCAAGAGATGATGAAATTCACCTGCTCCATCAACTGTTAACTGAAGACCCAAACAGATGGAGGCTTAAGAGGCTTAAAAGCTGTAAACTGTTTACACAGAAGCCCACAAGCTCCTGGAAGAGATTGGGGATGCTGAAACCAAAGCTAAGGGCAACAATAGACTAGCCTGACTCCTGGGAAAGGTCAGACCTATTCCTACACTTAAACTAACACCAAATGAGTTCTCCATTTGGCACAACCTTGACAGCGACGTGTGGGTCAAGTGGAAAAATCCAAGATCTGGATTTGAATGCTTCAAAACAACAGTTCACAAAATGAATATCTTGGACAGCCTTCTGTGTGAATGCATGTCCAACAAACAGCACAGCACTTAATCAAAAGCTGCAGTCTTTACAGGTGCCCAGATAGGGCAGATGGAATAGGTGCATTGAGCAATAATACCAGACAGTGGCTCATAGATTGGGAAGTTGATATCTGATGCCATACAAAAGAAGAACATACCATGCCATCCATCACTGTGTTTTAATTGACAAAATGAAGTAAGGGTATGGACAGGTGTTCATTGGAAGTGCTAAGAATTTCTGGGAAATTTGTAGTGCCAAAAACAGCATGAAATTCATGAACAGTTGTTCAAGTGCCAGATCATCCTGATCACTTCAAATCACGGCAAGAGAAGGTACTGCTGCAGCCAGGAGGCTGGTTGCAGATATCGTAGAATACTTTTTTGAGTGCTTCTGTCTCTGGAAGTTCCTGAGGAACAGTCAGCACAGAGGAGAATGACTGGGAGGCAGCCTGGGGAGCTGAAGACATTCAAGAACTTTTCTTCCTTGCCCTGGGAGTGCAGAGCCACAGTGGACCTGTGGTCAATAGGAGACACAGTATGGGAGGTGTCCTTGGCTATCTAGCAAAAGGGGAAAGGTGCTGTTGACCTTGCAAAGTCTTCACTGGTTAAGCACATTGGGCTCCTGCCCTGCTCACAGGACTTGCAGCACTGTGCCTGGACTCCAGCCATGCTTGACTGCACAGTGCTACATGCCAACTCCACCACCTTGGGGAAGATGAGTTCAGTATGACAGTCAGAGTCCCTGTAATCACAGGTGGGGTAGCGGTGAGGACCAAAGTATCTTGGAAAGCTAGAGGACTAAGCCACACCCTGTGGTACTACATGTAACTGTACAGGCACACGTGGTGCTAGAAATCATTGTGCTGCCAAGAAATTGTGCTTGAAAAATGCTAATACTTGGTTGCAGAATGACCATGTTTTTCCCCCAACAAACCACCACAAAGATGATACACTCCCTGTTTTCAGTGCTAAAAAGGGCATATTTCTTGTTACAAATGCAATACCTTTCCATGGCCTAAATGTGACTGTTGTATGATCCTCAAGAGACCCAAACCTGGTTTCTACAGAGAAAACTCCTACTGAAATGAATGGGACTGTGTAGTAGTTTCCATTGGTTAAGATGTTTAAAGGAACTGAAATGTATTTAGAAAATTGAGCTTTAAATCTCTGGTGAGTGGGCTGTCATGAGATTTCTGTGAGACGTAGGATTTGTATGGTAATATCTTTAATTAGATATTTTGTTTTTTTTAATTTGTTCAGAAAAATATATTACGAAATAAATCCTGCTTTTGAATATTTCCTTGAACAGCATGGCTATACCACTACTACACTATGGAAATTCTGCTTCTTTCTGGTTTGGCAGGTTGGAAAAATAAAAAATAGACTTCCTTGCTAATATTGCACATCTCTTCTGGTTTTGTGCAAAAATGGACAGCTTGCTTGGAAAACCTGGCTCCTAAACAGCAAAGAACTGAAGCCATTTGAAAGCTCCACCAAGTCCTCTAGTAATTTTCAATTGAATAGAGTTTGCCATTTCTCAACTTTTTTCAAATGTGTTTTCCCTTATACTTATATGGGAAATGCCTCTAGTGGCAGAGCAGTTCCAACTAATTCAAAAGGTAGGCTTTGGCTTTTTAATAGCAACCACATAAACTAGCTTTGCCGTTTGGTTTGGGTGCAATGGTTTGGGTGTATTGCTGCTAACTGGAACAGTGTCAGTTAAACTAATTCCAAAAAACATATATTTTATAATAGCATCAGTGATATTTCATGTAACCATAGGAAGTATTTTTGCCTTCATGGTTTAGCCCTGAGGCCACTGTCAGAACTGCTTCCAGTTACCAGATTGTCTATTTCTCCTGGCAGAGAATATTTGGTTAGAAACTAAAACAAATATTAGATATTGGCTTAGGAAAATCTTGTATTAGATGGCTAAAATTGTGTTAACTTAAAGTAAACTTAAAGCTGAGTACAAATGTTGTGTTTTTTTTAAAACTAACTAGGTCTGAAACTAAACTCTAAAACCTATAGAAATTCAAGAAACAGCATGCAGTTCATGCAATGTTCATGCAGTCTTACTGCTAAAATTTTTCAGTATAGAATTAACAGAGATAATCTTGTGTTGCACTTTCCCTTCCTCTGAATGCAGAAACAGCACCAGGATCATCTTGTTTAACAAGTGGAGTTAAAGCAGGATGGCCAAAGTACAAGAGGGAACCATATGAGGCTCATAGAGGTTGATAATAGAAGTGGTGGTCACTTTCAGACAGAGGTGTGTTATCAGGAAAGCCAGTCCTTATCATGTAATGCTTCAACCTCAGCTGAGTAGGCTGCTCAGAGGAGGATGAAGAATTTTATGTTAGTACCTGTAAATATCTCCAGATTGTACCTTGGTATGAGAACAGTTATAATGACCCTGTTATTGAGCATCTAAACAGTTTTGAGTGTGACCATTTGCTTGCAAAGTTTAGACATACCTGTGGAAAAAAAATCTAAACTAACAGCTGGAAAAGCCCTTTTTTGACTGAACACTGACGAACAAGCTTCCTTGTCACTCATGTCTGATATTTGGAGGGGCAGCTCTTGTTTCTACTGCTGTCGCAGCTTCTCTCCCCCAGCCTTCTTTCCCCGACTCCTTCGCACACCTAACAGATCCACTTGATTTGCAAGCAGAAGAACACATGGAGGGGGCTTAATGGTTCATTAGCACACCTCTGATGTAGCACATTAGAAAAATATGTTTGCAGGAACCAGGGACTCTTTTAAAGCTGCAAAATGGTTATGAATGATGACAAGCTCATATAATAACATGGGGTAATGTAATACTACAGCATCTTAAGAAAGATTTACTCTGAGTTAGACTGTAACACATTTCAAAGCTGAATCAAATATATGTGAATATGTGGTATTCTTTAAATGCTGTAGTTAATGAAGCTTCCTCCTTTTTTTATGTTTCAGAATGACTTATAAATATTATGGCAGAATTCTGTTTCACACAGTGGACAGCCAAAGTGCTGTTACACTGAGTTATCTGACTCAAATGTAGGGGTGATTTGATTACTTCCTTTGGGTGTGTAAGTGGCCCCATGATAGGAAAAGGACTGCATTCTGGACATGTGGAGATGTCTCCCTATTCCTATAATGGGGGCACTGATGTGCTCAGAGAGGGTAATAGCGTCAATCCCATACTTTAGTCAGCTAACTCAGAGTTGGACTCAAGCTGCATTTTGGTTATCCACTAATGGAAATGGAATCCTGCTCTATATATGTTATTTAGCTTTGTGTGAAGCAGTCACTGATTTTGCACATAATAGACACATGCACATGTGCAATTAATGCAGCCAGATAAACTCTGGTGTAGTTCATGCCAGAGTTTATTGCTCCCAGGCACGCCAGGGGTCAGCCTGCCAGCCCAGGGCTACTCCAGCCTGGCTCAACGTGCTGTGGAGGGGCTGGCTGAGGGACGAGGGAGCTTCAGTATGGGGCTAGACAGCAGGCAGCCCCTGCATTGAAGCACTTTCATGCCCCAGCATGCCCTATCAGCATCTACACATGCATTGCAGTGGAGTAAATAACTCTGCTGTAGGATAGTACTTGTGTCTGGCAGGACTGTCTTATGGCAGAGTTAATTAGTCCTAATAGCACTGCAAGTGTAGACAGTGACATTCTAATTAGTCATGGAGCTAATTAGCCAATTCTGCAGTAAAGGTATCATGTAGATGTGCCCATTGGGTATGAGAGAAAGCCCTAAGAACAAGAAACAAGAAGTTAAGACCCCTAAGGGTATATCTCCTCTACTCCTTCACCCACTAGAATTCACCTTCCATTACTACAGTTACTCCAACTGGTCTTCTGGTTTTGAGTAGTTACAGTTCTTCTCTTCAGTGACTTGTGACCAGTGGTAATAAAGTGACCCCTAACAGCCTTCAGAATACAAATTGCTATTTCAGCTTACATTTAATAACAAGGTGAACCATATGAGGTTTCAAAAATAAGAACTTGTCTATATACATAGCTCCATCTTTGTCTTCATAGAACTAATATTTTGAAGTATAACTTGCACGTTTTCCATAATCCAATCGCCCTCTCCTTTGCCCCTTCAAGAATTTCTCATTCAATGTAACTACCAGAGGGGAAAGATTGAAGCTAGAGTGTTGTTGGAATCATAGGTAGTAATGCAATTGGGATGCAGCTTATAGTCTGACTGAATGCTGGAAGTTCCCCACAGTTTTCCCAAAATTCCTGCTCCAGACATTTGTTGCCTCCTGACAGGAAGTCATATTCCACTTTGATGTTCATATCCAGCCTTGCATGCGGTTCTCTTTACCTGTAGCCTTTGTGCTTGCTCTGATGTCACATTTGTTCAGTGAGAGGGAGGTTGGTGGAAACCTTCTTCCAATGTGTAGCTAGCTTGCCCAAAAGCTAACGCCAAACTGTTCACCTGTGATGGAATGCCAGCAGGACATATCAGTACTGATCCTTCGCTCCACATCAGCAGTCATACCAAAATATATTATGTGGACCAGAAATTGCTCCACTAGGCTGACCACCAGTGGTGGTGGGACAAGATCAACTCCCTAAACACAACATAGCACTGGGAAGGGACCCAGAATTCCCAGCCTGGTGAAACCCCAATATTTTCTTGTTACTAGATTCAGAAATTATGAAGCTAAAAGATACCATAATGAACAGACATATTCATTTCCAATATAACACAGGCTATAAAATGTTTCTGATTTAATTCCTGGTTAAATTGGACCTTTTTTCTGGTGTTCCAGGCCTGTTCCCATCCCCTGCACATGCAAGCTCCCTAAGATATGTTTATAGTGTTTTTATTTAGTAAATGTAAAACATTTACCACGGCTAATATGGTAAATTTTGCAATTTATTCTTTGCTATGGTACAGAAAAATAAAGTTCATTTTACCTTTGACAGAAGAGCTTTGCACTATTTTTTTAATATACATATCCACTCAGAAGGCCCCTCATGCTTAATACTAGGGTCCAGAACCAGTGAAACAGAGAATAATGGATATTGGATAGAGGTGCACAAAGACTTTGACAAAAAGATGTGACCACTTATTTGAACTTCAGAGAGAAATGCTGGAACAGGAACCACAAAGAGCTTGCTGGAGAGAGGGATGAAAGGTGGCTGAGCATATTGCCCATGCAAGACAGCTGCAGTGAGAGGAGAGGTAGTAGTTAAGAGCTTCATTTGAATGTCTCCTGGTTATTGTGGCCAGCAGGATCCAAGGCAACTTAATCACTGAACAAGCTCAGGTTCAGGTCTCACATTGCAGCTGTGGATTCCCCTTTGCTATATTACAAGCTGCAGTTAACAGTTTCTAGGTGGATGGTTAGTCAGTCCCTGACAGGAAGTGTCCAATGTCAAGTTTACCCTCATCACTTCACTCCTGTGTATGGGGAGCTGAGTGATGACAGGTACCTTAACCACACGTCTTTCCTGTTGTAATGCTTAAAGCAGCTGATAGTGCTATTTACTGTTCACAGTGTAAATATCAAATCAGTGGCCCTGAGAGCAATAGCCACTGTTGCACTATAAAAGGCTCAAAGCAGCTGCCCCAGTTGTGTTACTCACTATTGCACACTGTAAAATTCACATCAGCTGCCCTGACAGTGATATTTACTGTTGCACTGTGATTAAGACAGCTGTCCTAGTAGTGTTGTTTGCTTTGAATGAATTCTTTCGTTCTCCAGTCTCTTTTGGTCTGGGGGTGTTTTAACTGTCCTAGAGAGGGAAGGGATATTTCACACTCGTTTATTTCAGCAACACCATCACAGTAAATGCACATTTAAAAGAGGCTTTCTTGTGTTCCTACTTTGGAAAACTGATAAAGAGTATAGCAGACATCCCTACAACTCTAAGCCAGGAAAGTAGACAAATTCATCAAGCCCTCAGAACCAGAGCCTCTGGTCCCCAAACTGTCTGCATCCTCTGTTGCAAGCCAAGCACAAGGACTATCGTAAGAAAGGAAGAAACCATAGAAATTACTGCATGGAAGTTAGAAGGATTCAGAACTCATGGCAGAGGTGATATCTTTTATTAGACCAACTAGATTTTTGCAAAAAAAAAAATTCTTTAATTGCAAGATTTCAGGTGCAAACACCTTTCTTCAGGTATACAAGAGAAGACTGTAAAAGCTATCCTGAGTAGAAAAGAAAATTTATATTTCATAGGAGAGTTGAAGGTGTGGTACAATCTCCTGCTTGGAACAGTTCATTTTAGATGCAGATTAGGCTCAGAGAAAAGTTGGAATAGTTTGTTTACCTTAAAGTTGTTTGGTGGTAAGCAGGATGTAGTCATATTTCCTTCCGGTGATGGTGTTTCATATTTCACAGAGGAGTAAGAAGATAGAAACAGACTATTTCAACTGACTTAGTGGCTCCTGGGAAGTAGGAGATGCAGCCTTAATCTACTCTGGTTAAAGGGGGACCTAGAACCTGTATCTCCCATTTCCTGCATAACCGGCCTAACCAGTAGATCAGTGAGTCTCAACCAGGGTGTCACGGGGTGCCCTGAGATCCTTTCAAGGGTGTCCTGGGGTGCTACACAAATGAACTGTAGGGAGCCTGTAGACATGTGGGGACACTGATCCAATGGACTGTAATTACAGGGTGTTGAGGCAGACTCGATTAATCAGGTCTACTGGAGCATGCTAATTAGCACACTCCAGCAGCCTTCACATCATGTATTCAGTCCCCGTGCTTCAAAATAGTGGCACTTTCACTAAACTTTGTTGAATGTCAAACCACAGTTTAGGAACCTCTGGTTTAAAGTATCTAACCTTTTCCAAAAGATGCAAATATAGTTGTATCAGATCCAATTTTTCTATTTTCTGAAATAGATAGCCTTTATTATAGCTCCTTCCTTCTAATCTGAGCAAATGAAAATGGGGGAAAAGCTGAAAAAAAAAGTTCTTGGTTCCAGGTAAGAGGTGCTATGGGCAAACACTTGGTACAGGACCAGCAATTTCTGTTCAACCAAGTTTAAAATTTTTACTTTGCAAAGCCACAACATGTAAAGAGAGAGCTGGTAGGCATTGTAGTCAGTGGGGGTTGTTTACCATTATTTTAAAATTGAAACTGAATTTAGTTTTAGAAAAATATTCCCTCCCCCCCACTGAAAATACTTAAAAATATTAATCATTTGGAACCTGTAAACTGATTAGCTCATAGTGGGGGCATGGCGGGGGGGGGGGGGCATGTTTCT